GCCGGCTGCGGAGCTGGTGGGGCCCGCGTGGAGCCGGGAAGGGGGAGCGCCCCGGGGCGCCGTGCGGTGCCCCTGCCCTTCCCCGGAGAGTGACATTTCGGTAATAGAATTTTCCAGGCTCTGCTGATCCAGCCCTGGGCAGCAGGACTTGTTCCTCCTTGCTAAAAATTCGTGCGCTCTTCCTTACATGGCTGCAAATTTTCTAACCCTGCCCTGATCTCTAGGGAGAAGGATCTCGACGAGGTCCTGCAGACGCACACGGTGTTCGTCAATGTTTCCAAAGGCCAGGTGGCAAAGAAGGAAGATCTCGTTAAAGCATTTGGGACAGATGACCAAACAGAAATCTGTAAGATGGTAGGTTTCACACACTTTGCTTTGCAAAAGCTTGGAGAAGACTTTCCAAGTGTTTTACCATATCACACAGACATGGTGGGTTGGTTTGTTACTGGAAGGTTTTCGTAGAATGCAATGCCTCTGTAGGCGAAAAGGTTGTTTATTTGTTAAGAAATGGGTAGCAAGGAGTGGTAGCTCTGTGGTGCAGTATTAAATTTTATATATGCATCTGACTGAAAAGAGTTGCGAGTGTTCTGTAACATAACTGACATTTACAGACACGGAGCAAAGCGTAGCCAGCACTGAAGGGTTTCTCACCTGAGATGTGTGATTAAGGATGTGGGGAAAGGAAGGGGACACTCACTTACTTTGGGCAGTTCAATTAAGTATTAGAAACAGGCCTAATTTCTTAGTCCTTCTTGGTAGGACCTGAACTGTGGACTTGTTGTGGGTGACTGGAATTCAAGTAAATCCGCGCTTCTGTTTTTGTAGTTTCGTGTGGTGCGTTTTTTGTCTGAAGTCTTTCTAGTGCTGCCTGTCATCATGATGTGTGTTATTAACGTGATTATTCTTTTTCTGCACTTCACAGCTAACCAAACCATTCCAATTGTTACATTTAACAAAGTTACTAGAGCTTCATTCTTTAATCAAATCTGTGATGTTTACTAACTGATTTCTTTATTTTTATTGTACAGATTTTATCAAAAGGGGAGCTGCAGGTGTCAGACAAAGAACGACACACACAGCTGGAGCAGATGTTCAGAGACATCGCAACTATTGTAGCTGACAAATGTGTGAATCCTGAAACAAAGAGGCCGTACACGGTAATCCTCATAGAAAGAGCCATGAAGGATATTCACTACTCTGTCAAACCCCACAAGAGCACGAAGCAGCAGGTCAGTTTTCTCACAGAATGAGCTTCTGCTCAAAGGTGTTGTCTTCAAGCCTAATTTCCCTGTCAGCAGTCCCAGAGGGCTCAACAAAGCCCTGGGGTCTAAAGCCCGCAGCGTGATTGCTCAGCTGGCCGGCAGTTGAATGCTGGGTACAAGCAGCTTCTGAAACTCATGCAGTTTGTTTGCTAACAGTTCGGGGAAGGGAGAAAGAATGAAACTAATTGAAGCAGCAACAGAAATAAAAGTTTTATCATTTATTTTGGTTGAGGTAGTAAATCAGGCTTTGCCTCTGTTGTTTTGCTGTTTAACGTTATTTCAGACAGGTTTTTTAAGTATTTGAAGTGATCACAAATAGCAAAACCTCTCCTTTTCTTGTTAATCTATCAAAATACCCTAACAGCAAACTCACCACAGCAGAGTGGCAGTGATCAGTGCTGAGAAACATATCTGAAGCCAGTGCAAAGGGCTTACGATTTTGATCTGCGTGGTGTTGTTTAAGCAGGTGTGTAAATGCTCTTTCTTCCTCATGTCTTCACAGGCACTGGAGGTGATCAGACAGTTAAAGGAGACGATGCAAATTGAACGTGCTCACATGAGGCTGCGCTTTATTCTTCCAGCAAAGGAAGGGAAGAAACTGAAAGAGAAGCTCAAGCCACTGATTAAAGTTATTGAGAATGAAGACTTCCACGAACAGTTGGAAATCGTAAGCAATAAAGCAGTCCTTGGGTTTCATAATTGATTTGACTACACCTGTACGTTTTACTAGAAGATGAATTAATATATGGAAGTTGTTCAGATAAACTTCAAGTTTACCAGAGATTCTAAATCAGAGGTGTAGTGTGTAGCTTGTAGTTCTTAATTTCACACAATCCAAGTGATGTAAGCTTCACAGTGGCCTTTATTATACAGAGATTGCTGCTTCAAGCTGAGAAGCAGCATAGTGTAATTTCTCTTATCCTACAGCATGTTTCTCTGCATGTATGGAATGTTAATTTTTGGTGGGTCAGGCCTATATTTTGACAGTGGTTAATTAGGTTTTTTAAAAATAGTCTGGGGTAAAGCAAAATTGGGTATTAGTAAAAACCTTTCTGAGAACAGATTAGAATCCAGCAATCCCAACTGTCAAAAGACATGTCCAGCATGGGGAAATGGAACTGCAAAACTTCTGCGCGAAGATTACTTGATAGAAATTGCTTATCAGCTCTGCAAAGTCCTTCTTAGTAACTAAACAATATTTTTTTTAATGAAAACTAATGTTGGGGCTGATGAAAATCAAATATTATTGCTTGACTGATGAAATGTGAAACATTTCAGGTGTGCCTTATTGACCCAGGCTGCTTCAGAGAGATTGATGAGCTGATCCGGAGTGAGACGAAAGGGAAGGGAACACTGGAAGTGCTCAGCCTGAAAGACGTGGAGGAAGGAGATGAAAAGCTTGAATAATGAAGACCTTTCTGCAGCAGTACTACTTTAACAACATCCTATGAAATGACTGGTGTTAGCCACTCTCTTCTGTTAGGCCTTCATGTTTTCTCCAATCTCTTGCTGCCAGATGTTTTCTGACACTAATCCTTTGGGATTTTTCCATGCAGTGTGGGTGTTTTTAATAATTTTACACTTGCTTGGTTTACAAATGTCTTTGCCTGTAGGAACATCTTTTGTCAGAGTTGCACAAATGAGGATTGGGTTGAGATGTGATACGGAAGTTTGTCTAGCTTTGGTTTACCTTAAGGGTTGCTACTGAAGAGTGTTCGATATGGTGCCAATCACTTTTATTTCGAGTTGTCGGTGTTGAGCAGAAGATTGCGTAAGTCACTGCGGGGTGGGTTTTGTATGTGAGGAGAGGAACGTTAAGAAGAGAGAGCTGCGTTTTCACTTCTAAACAGGTGCAGAGTGGATCATGTCTAAAAACTGATCTCTTGGCAGCATGAAAACTGACTTAGGCTTCCATAATTGGCTGCTTGATAATTTGATAGAGTACTTTAAAGGACCATTCTTAAAAGATTTCCTTCACTGGATGTGGCAGTACTTGATGACTTAGAAAAATGTTATCCAAATAACTTATTCATAAAATATATTTAGCTACATTAATAAAAATGAATTATCATCTATTTATATATTACAGATGCAGAAAGAAATAAAATAATTATTTTTGTTAATAGTATAGGAGGTATCTCTGGCCGTAGCACAGCCTTTTGTAGGCTGAAGGGGGAGCCTGTGCTCGTGAGCTGTTCTCGTTCGCTGAGAAAATGAATACCGAACAGGCAGTGGTGGCCTGTGGCCACGGAGCTCCAGAGGCTCTTGTTGGGCTGTCATTCCCCAGCACTAACTGTTCGTATGTGCCCCCTGTCTCTTTAGCACGATTCTGACAGCTGTCCTTTATCCTCTGTCTTTTTATGCTGCTTTCTAATACAGGCACAGAACTTCCAGCTAGCTCCTGAGGCACAATGTGTAATTATTCATAATTCTGTTGCATCTTGTTTCAGCTGTGTTAAACAAATGCTTTTAAGTTGAACTTGTGTATTTCAAAGAAGAGGGGAAGAGAGGACAACAATGGAGGAGGAGATACTAAAAATACAAACCGCCATGCAAACCATATATGCTTGTATGACTAAAAGCTAAACCAGCAGGAGATTCAGGAGCCTTTAGCGTTACATACCTGTTTCCATGCTGATAGTGCGCAGCAAGTCAGGAGCTGCAGACTAGCCAACAACTAGGTGTCTCAAAGATGAGCATGTGTTGTGTTAGTTGCTGGCTGTTTACTTTTGGACCACATGACTCACCCCGCTATATGACAATTAAACAGAGCTGTGGTGTGTACTGTGGACTTGACCTTTTCCTTTGTACCATTAACGTGAATTTTGTAGGATTTAAGCAGGGGGAGTTGAAGTCCGCTGGAGGAGGGAGGTTTGACAGGTCAGGTGCCGAGGGCCTGCGGGACTAGATCCTTAGTCCAAGGCTTCCTCCAGGAAGCTGATTTCTGCAGCAGCCTATTGACA